AATGCATGGCAACATGGGAAAATATTTTTTAAAAAACAACCAAAAAACCCCTCCTCCACAAAGCACAGAAATAGCTTCAGGCAACACCTTTCCCAAGATAGTGTAAATTATTATTTAATCCAGCATCACATCTCAGGCCCTCTTGAAAATCACTTAAGTGATGACTACTTTGGTCAGAGCTTCAGTTGGAGAACAGATAAGCACCCCAACCATGATGAGGTATGAGACTCATGCAAATTTATGTAGTCACAGGTTCACTTCTGCTTCACATATTCCTTTAGTGTTCTTTACCTTGCCTATAAATAAGGATTTCAATCCTGGAAATGTTAATCTTTTTTTTGTTGTTGAATAGGTCCTTTTTTCCAAAAGGTGCCACAACTCAATGCATGGGCAAATTGTCACCTATTCAGTCTGTGTAGGAAATGTGATTCTTACTTCCTGAAAGAATTTAACAACACTTCACAAGTTTCCTTCCTGTGAGCCAGAAGTGAACTAAGTGTTTGTTAGAACGGCCTTCAAGAGACAAAGAATAAGGGCAACTCATTTTTTAAACTAAATATCAATTAATCTTCAGAACAACACATTTAATAAAAGACATGGAAGATCATTTGTCTCTTTAATTTCCAAGCACTATTATGATATTGCTTTAAATGACATGAGTTACACTACTTTCAGGAAAGAAATCTGTGGCCGGCTGGAGTTGTGTGCATAGAGCCATCCTCAGAAATGCGTATTCCCAAAAAATGGGGTCCTGGAATGGCCAGTGTCTGGACAAGAGGAACACACCCCTTACACTTCCCCTCGGAAGACTGTTAGCTACCCAGACAACATCCTTGTAGCACTGCAAGGGTCCCTTGCACCTCTGCTTCAGGACAGGATTAACTTAACAGCCCCACCAAGCACAAAGAAGCTCCTCCATGGCACGGGCTGGAGCCTGTATTTTATAACACTTTGAGCCAAAGTCAGTGAACCACTGGTGTCACATGAAAAACACAGGACTTCCCAGCCCTCCCCTTGCCTCCTGATGCTCATATGGTCACTACTGGGTAACTTCTGTTACAACCTATCCTGTGGCTAAGGTCCAGCAGCTCATCATTGACACAGGCTGATCCTGGCTTGCCCAAGATCCTGCTCCCCATAATCAGTTCATGGGCAATACTGCACAATGATGTGGAACACAACAGTCCTGTAAAAGTCAGTGGGGCTGTACATCTGCACAAACTTGCTGACACGTGTATGCATTTTCACAATCAGTGTTATCCTATATGATAACTCTTAATTTAAAATTGGTCAATTAGCGTAGTGACTGGGCGATGCCTGAGCAGATTGACACATTTGATAAACAGACAGCTTCTTTCCCAAACATGCCTGCTCAAAGGACAGGTAATCAGCTGGCAAATGCAAGGAGAAAAATTGATGAGAACCACAAAAGTACTTGGGAAGAGGTATAGGGTTCCAAGACAAAAGGAAGAACATACACAGACCATTTCCTTACATGAACACTGTTTTTGTATTTTACAGGGTTTGCAAAGGAGAAAGGAACACACATATTCCCCTTTGTTCTTCCCCTCTGAGCCTGCAGATCATCAGGGATGTGTTTAGAGGCACAGGATACCTTGTGGGTACCTGAGAGAGAGTTGGCAAACACTGGGGTTTAAGACATACTTGGGCACCTCAAGCTATGTCCAGCTGTAGGCCAGACCATCTGGGCATTAGAGTTTTCCTCCAGCATTTTCAAAACAGAGTACTTACTATCTCAGCTGGCATGGTTCTCTAAGTAAGGACAGCACATCCTAGGAAGTTTCTGTATACCTTTTAGGTTTTGTGTTTTCTGTGCTATTTTTATATGTATTACATTCATTGTCTCTTTTCTCTATTCAAGTGGGTTTACCTATCTTTTGCTCTTCACTCAATTCCTACTAACAATATCAGAAACAATATTATACATCCCATATGATGGCATGAGGTGAAACTAGGTAAAACGTTGCAGATCATTCCTGGCTGACAATTCTATAAAACAAAATAATGTAATATGGTGTTAGCTGGGAATACAGCAGTGAAAAGTCTTCTGTACCTCTCACTAAGCAGGGGTATCAGACTTGCTAAGCTGTAATGTTTTTCATTGAGAAATCACTTTCTTGGCTTTTCCACAGACTGCACTCTAATTTATAAAGCAGAATTATTTCTGTGGTGACTCACAGGTTCTGTTTACTAACAAAGACTTGCTTCACTCATACAAGACAGCAGATTATTAGCACCCACATTCCAGAGAATTTGCTGCACCAGGGCACCAGGCCAGTTTTGTAAGGACTGAGCCTCCAGGCTGACTACAATTAATTCAGCACTTACGGAGAGATCTCCAAAGATACCGTGTTTTTACAGAGTTCATGGAAATGGCTTGGAAGAAGCAAGAAATGTTGTTATCATCCTCTCTGAGTCAAAGTTCACACAATGTTTTCAAACTTAATTCAATACCTGAGAATCCCTACAGAAGCAGGCTAATTGAGAGCAAACTGGTCTTTGCATGTTGTGGTGTTCACTGAACAACACATTTAGGAATGTATGAGTGGTGCTAAATACACACCTTTTGAATAATTTGAATTTTTGTTCTAAGTTTACCTAACAAAGAATTGCCCCCAGGCAATCTGCAAACAGCAGTTCAGAAACCAAATGACAGGTGTGGAACCAGTGACCACACCAGCTTCTGTACAAACCACAGCAGCAGAGAACGTGTTCATTGGTAGAAAATGTTGAGAAAAGCTGGACTCTTCCTCCTCTTCATCCCAAAATAATGTGGTCACAGCACTCCCTGAGACAGGCAGCAGTACAGATCAAGAACTGCCACAGCCTCAGAGGACAAGAATCCCCCAGGTCCCTGCTAAATATCCTAATCACAGGTTAGACGCCTCTTTACCTCTCCTGCTCCATGGTGCAATTTGGTCTTTCAGAATGTCATGCAATGGTGCTGTTTATCATAAAATAACTCCACTCCTTAACTACTGCCAAATCAGCACTTAAACACTGCTCTGCTATGCATGCAGACATCACTCAGCACTCTACTGCTGCTCCGCTCCTTTTATCAGTGCAGGTTTCTGCCAGCGAATCAGTCTGCTAGTGGAGACAGACAGACTGGGAACTGCAGCAGAAGTCAAAGGGCAGGGCAGTCAAAGCAGAGGTAAGTTGCTTGTACATATGTGTTCACTGTCTCTTTCTCTGTTGCCTATCTCCATAAAGATGTGCGGTCTCACTTTTGTGCAGTTGCTTGTCAGAGTAGACAGCCTGCATCCTTTCTGATCTGCAAGCCTGATGCTGTGCATCAGAGGGCATGTTTGCTAAAGTGGAGGCAAGGAAGAAGACATTGACCTGTGCAAATGGGAAAAAGAGTAACTGATGGTTTCATTTTGTTCTACTTGTTGGGGTTTTTTAGCTAAGGATGTCACTGTGGATGCATGAAAATCTTAGTGTTGAAAGTGTGTACATAAATTGGACCTTTTGCTCTCATAGTTCCAAATGCATTAAGCTTTCCTTGTAAGTTCTCCAGAATATTCTGACATCTGCTAGCCACATTAATTGCCCTGGTGCCTTTCTGTCCCATTTACAGTGTATGTGAAAAAAATTTTATTACTTTCTCAAGAGTACACTGATGAATTTCTAGAGGGTATAAATCTTATTTTCATTAAATATAAAAAGTCTCCAGAAATGGCCTTTTGAATGTATCTTTCAGGTCTCTTCCTCTACTTTTTTTTTTTTTTCATTAAACATTTCAGTTAATTCCAGTTTGCCATGGTAAATGCCACTCTTTGGCATTGTTTCATTACATAAAAAGACTAGATTACTGTTCAAGGCTCCTACAGTCAAGACTTTGCCGCTGAAATTAATGAGAGTGCATGCCAAGCCTTGAAGTTAATCGGCACACTCTATCTGATTTACAAAGCATTCATCTGGAAGTGCCTTAAAGCACACCAGCTAAGCCAGGTGACAATATAGTATATATAAAAAAAAAGTATACTCTAAGAAGTGCAACAATTTAGCTACCCCATTGCCCCACCTTTAGTAGAAAAATAAACTGTGACTTAAGCTGAACTTCTTAGTTTTTGTTCCCAAATGATGTTCCACAAGCAGAAATAGAGGAACAAGTTTTACTTCTGTTTGAACTGAATAAAACAGCAGAAAGCAGTGGAATATCTGCCATAAAACTGTGCTTGCAGAGCACACAGTGGGAGGATTTCTGTTCTGTTGACAGAAGAATGAAAGTATTCTCCTACAAAGTGGATGGACTAGAGTCAGTTTGGATGCCAATATTAAAATTAAGGGTATATCCCAGTTTTGGTTTAACCCAAATGTTCTAGTGACCCAAAGTGTATGATAGATTTAATAAAAAACTAAAAGAACTGAGAACTCCCTTCCTCATGAAGAAGTTCAGAGAAAACAAATCTTTTAGCTATCCTTTCCAGGCTCTCCAAACCTTAAAAATCTTCCCCATGATATGTCAGATAATACACTCTGTTTGTAAGACCAGTCTGTTTTTTCTATGTTGATTACAAAGGTGACTACAGCTAAAAAGCAGGGCACTAACTAGATAGACTGCGCTCAATTTCTGTTTAGAAAAGCTTCCCTGTGACCATCAGTCAACCCCCAAAAACCATGAAAATGCAGTCTTTCCCCCAGGTGGCCAAGACACAGAATTACAATAGGGAGCACCATATGTGAGAGAGAAAGGAAGGAACTCGTGGCACAAACCAGCACCGATATCATACAAGCACATTCCCCCAGGTTGGTTCTACATCCTCCTGGAGCCTTTGATTCACTCCTGGCCGCTGTTAAATGGGGTGAGCTGTAGACAGTCCCTCCTCACACATGTCCTTCTTCTGGCAGCCCCTTGGGGAACAGACCTTGGGCAACCTTCAGGAAACTCCCCACTTGGGTCTTCCTGTGGAATTTCACACCACTCTCTTCCTAACACAGACACCCCTGCATGTGCTCTTTCACACAGCCCCAAGATGTGGTGCCTCCTCGTGCTGCTCTGCTCCCAAGGAATTGCCTTTTCAGCAGGATTCACAACACCCTCCACTCTGAATTCAGACACAAGCCAGCACAGGAAGCCTCGCAACCCTGAATGCTTTATGAATGTTGTAAGTTGGGTCACTTTCTCTCCCTTTCTTTCTTAAACGTCTCTCCCAGTACCACTAACACTGCCCCATCACTAACAGTCCCTGCCAGAAGGCTAAAAGTAGCCCCCTTCAAAAGGTTCCCTCCAGCATTGTGATAGGGAGCACCCACCTAGAAGAAAACTTGATGCTCCTACCCAAAAAGTCTGAGCTGCCGGAGAGAAAAATTCCTTTGCAGTGGAGACAAAGGCTGGTTTCTATTCTCAAGGGAAGCAGAGTCCTCCCCTTCTGTAACAATCTGTTTGCTCAGTACAGTGGCAAAGGAGGATGAATCTCTTATTCAAACTGCAGATTCTCACAACACAAAGTAATGCAATGATTGTCATGACCCAGACTGGACAGACCAGGGAGTTATGTTTAATTCAAAATTCCCTCAGGCTAAATTAAGGTGAAACAACACCAAACGATCAGTTAAAGATTTTATTCATGACAGAAGCAAACTGAACCAGGGATGAGTGGTAGCAGGTGGCATGGTTTCTCACAACAGGAATTGGCATAAGACTACTGCTGTAAACTGTGTAACCCAGGGTAACCATATACATCAATTCAGGGAATAAGGAGATCCCCCCCGTTGAGTCACGAGGTTCAGAGCAGACCCCCTTGCTTTCCAGACTCCTCCTCAGAGAAGGGCCCAGGGGCTGCTGGATCCACTCTTAGTCTCAGACTTAGTCAACCGTTTTTGTCTTGAACGAATGAGGTGTAGGGACTGTGGAAAAGGAAAGAGAGAGAAGACAGAGAAAAAGGAAGAGAGAAAGATTTCACCAGTCCTGGGTCCAGTGTTGGTTCAGTCAGCCAAGGGGTCCAGTCAGCCGATGGGTCCAGTCCCGGTGGGCTTGCATGCCCAGGGCTTCAGTTTGTGTCCTTTTATCATCCTTGCCCCTCCTTCAGGCGGGCACCCGAACTCATTAGGCTAATGAGCAGTTTGTGAGCCTTCGGGCTTGAGGGTCATTTGTGGAGTAGCTTCTCCTTCCCTGCAGACTGGCCATTGTTTGATCTTTGTATCAGAACAGCTTATCAGAACAGGGAGCTGCGCGCCCTCCAGCACATCCTCCCCCTCCTGTTGCTGATGTCTGAGCTGATGGGCTTTTCACCTCCATTCCTTGCAGTGCAGGGTTTGTCTTTAAGCAGAACTTGCCCCACCACAATGTTAGAAACATTAACTCTTTCAGTCTCTCACAATGATTTCCTCAGAATAGTGGCAAGAGTGTGATGGGTGGTTCTGTGAATGAGTCTGTAACAGGATATTCACCCTACCTGGCTTGCCTAACCACACTTTGGCAAAAAAGGATTCATTATGGCTCAAAACACACAGCTTTTGCAACTGTCTTATACAGATACTGCTGCATGTTTACTCCCTAGAAAGGTATGATCTGTGTCAACCTTACAAAACATGACAAACTATCTCCCAAAAGGTTAGTCACTCAATACATTTTTGCTTTGTCCCATCATATGGGGCCAAATACCAGACAACTACCACCTAAGCAGGTCTGAAGAAGATTTTGATGCATCTTTGTACAAGACCTGTAATATTTATTCTCAGCCATGGTCCCAGTGGCCAGGGGTTTTGCACTACCATTACGGAACAGCCCACATCCACACTGCTTAGCTTGGTTACCCTCCAAAGCAGGACAGCTTTATCTGAGCTGTTTAATAGCATCATCCCTGAAGTCTAAAAGAACAAAGATGCATCCAGGAAAAGTGGTGGAGAGCACTGGCATGCTCAGGGAAAAGCTACTTCCAGGACAGTCCTAACACATGACAGCACATACAGCCAAGCTGCACGTCCCAGGAACAGTACTGCACAGGTGAACTCCGTCATCCTGCCACTCTTATAAGCCTGTGTAGTGCTTGGGTACCACTGCTACAGCAATTACCACCCAGCCAAAAGCTAAGCAATATGGGGTATGTCAGGAAAGCTCCAAGTATAACTAGGTGCTTCTACCTGAGCAAACACAGCTCTTGGTACTTCAATTTGAGAGATATAGCATTAAAGAGCATACACAAACCATATCACACAAACACAGCTCAACTGCTCTCACTGCCATTTGCATCTCCAGCCTCCATGGCTATGTAACAGCACATATCTGGTCATCCCTGAAAGTGAGAGGCATGGGTTGTGCTGATCTGCAGGAATCTCTTTTGGGTCCCTTCCTACCAGTACAACGCAGAGCAGTAGAGAAAAAGCCAGTGATATGTTATCACATTCATCTTCCTGGCATGTTCTTGGTTAGCTTTACATTCCTGGACAGAACCAGCCTCTAGACACCTTCTCCACCCATCTCTACAACATAAATGCATGTTAGCAAACTCTCCTTTGGCTTCCCACAGAGTGAAATTATCAGATATCATGGATACCCCAGTGAGGAATATCAAGTTACCACGGAGGATGGATACATTCTTGATGTCTTCAGAATTCCTGCTGGAAGGAACAGCCAAAATACAGGTGTGATGCAGTTATAGGTCATAAGAAAATTCTGAGAGCCAACTCTTACATGGGGCCCGCACCTTTCCCCTTTGCACATGCAATGGCATGTTCCACAACTCTCCCTCTCAGCAAGAGCACCTAGTCAGGAATGTGGCCTGAATTCTGTATACAGGTTAAAAAACTCCTGCAAAGCCAGACTTTGCACGCCAGTTTTAACTACACAATACTTACTACTACAGCATAAGAAAACCCGCTTCTTTTTCAGGGAAAAAGCCTGCAGTCTTGCTACACCATGGTACTTTAGCAGATTCTACTTACTGGATTTCTAACCTGCCCAACAACAGCCTAGGCTTCATCCTCGCAGATGCCGGCTATGATGTCTGGATGGGAAACAGCCGAGGGAACACTTTGTCTTTAAAACACAAGACCCTTAAGCCCTGCCAGAAAGAGTTCTGGCAGTACAGGTACTCCATGGAGAAAGAATTACTGAAGAAAGTAACTTTTAGGGGACTAACAAGATTGGGCAGATAATATTTGGATGCAGAATCTTTCCCCTTGAAAGTTATATGAAAAAGTATGGTTATATGAAAAAATCCCCTTCTGGATTATATGAAAACCCTACTGGTTTTCACATAATATGACTTCAGGTGGGACATGCAACATCTAAGGAGACTAGACCAACTCTTTTCCGCAGATGCAGCCACTTCTGGGTATGTCGGGGGGTCATAAGAAGAGTTTGGCTACATGATCTGGACAGGCTCTTCTGGAATCAGCACATACAGAAGCAAAGCTGGAAGTACATAGGACACCTTTGTCCATACACAGTGCTGGTTTCCTTGAGGAAAAGACTTCCAAAACTGGGAGGCATCGGTAACCTTGAAGTCTCCCACCAGATACCATGTCCCAAGTGTAGACAGGAAAGGACACTGCTCAGCTCACCCTAGAAATCTGATCTATCACAACTGATGTTAACTGAGACAGAAATACTTTTTGCAACCCATGCTGGTGAGAGCAATGATTAAATTAACTTCTGCAAGAGCCTGAGCTAATGGACAAAACTGGCACCTCCTTTGCAGAAAGCCCAAGGCATCAGGCAGCCTGGCAGTACAGCTGCATCTCCCTACCCCCTTCCCCAACTCAAGCAAAATGCAGACAAAGTGTGCAACCTCACCTTTCAGTGGGTGCTGCTTGGTGCAATGAACAAAACTGACATTCAGTTACTCACACTGTGATAGTTGAATTATCTGCTAGCTTTTTGTGTTTCTCCCCTGTAGCTTTGATGAGATAGGTAAATACGATATTCCAGCAGAGCTGTACTTCGTCATGAATAAAACTGGACAGAAGGATGTATATTATGTTGGTCACTCAGAAGCTTCAACTGCAGGTAATGTTAGGACTGCCTGGGTACAAAACAGTTATAGTGTTTATGATTTATATATAGATCCACGAGTAGATGTTGGGGTTTGTGCCATGGTGTGCCATTGCTCTTTTACAAAAATAAACCCAGAAACAGACAAGAAAATGGGGGGAAGTGGCATGTGGACACATTCTTAGACAATTATTTTCCTTTCTTCTCATATGTGCATCCTAAGGGTCTTTTTGCAGAACAAATCATTCAGGCCAAGACATCACCTTCTTTGTCTTTAGATACCTATATTTTAGGCAACCAGTTAAAGTTCTCACCAAATCCATCAGTGGAGAAATTTAGACATGTTCAGAAAACAGGATGGAATGCACCCTTTTTGGTTTTCTTTCCTTCCTTCCTTCCCTCCTTCGTTTGCCATACTCTTCCTTTATGTGTGCTTACACTTAGTTACAAGTAAAAATTCTGCTCTTAATCTTCAGATAATTATTGCATTACTGCATGCCGACATAAACATATACAGTCTTTTAGAGACTGCAAGCTGAAAAACTCATAATTTTATTAGAGTTTGGGGAACTTTAGAGGGAATTTGAGTTAAGAAAATCTGATTAATGCATCTTCTCCCCGAAAAATGGCCTTAACACAAAACTGTCAGTTCTGAGAAAATCAATATCTGGACATACTCAAATGAACCTGTATCTTTAGAATGAACTCTGTCTCCCAAACGAAAGTTTCAAGAATCAAACACTTTCCTTAGGTCTGCAGCACAGAAATGGACAACAGCCAATGGGCTGCTAATCTAGTCTCACTTCTTTGATGCCTACTGCTTTTTTAATTTATTTGGTCTGTGGAGATCTCTTCACTAACTTGACTTTTGTCTTCTGTGTTTGCAGGCTTCATAGCATTTTCTACTTATCCTGAGTTGGCACAAAGGGTTAAGGTGTTCTTTGCTATGGGACCAGTAGCCACAGCCACACATGCTACCAGTCCTCTGGTAACATTTACACGTCTTCCCCAATCACTGATCAGGGTATGTCATTCCTCTTTCTAAAAGACATAATTATCTGCTTTGTCTCTACTGGACTCACTCAACCTGAACTGATTTTAAGGGGGTGATGAGTTAAGAATGAACTCAGTGTATCAGACTGCTGACAGTGCTGGTAGACTTCAGACTTTCCTCAGAGGTAAGCTGCAAGACTTGACACAGTATCTCTTTTGCAATTTCTTTAAGATAACAGGCATACTTTCGCCACTATTTGTTTAAATCAAATATTTTCGGAGGAAGTTCACAACTACCAGAATAAAAGGAGCCTAACATTGTCCACTAAATCTAGCCTTAAGCGCTAGCAGAAAACTACAAAGAAGATATTTCACATCTTAATTTTATTAGACATGCAGTTCATTTATGCTTGTGAAATATTTACTTGTAAAATGATAAAGGAAACTTAAAGGGAAATACCTATTTCACACCAGAATTTGCCAATTTAATAATTTGCTGGGAATGGTGAAAATCCTGCATGCTATACCTATACCTTCTATAACTTATGTCAAACTGCAGGAGCACATCCTCTTACTCTCCAAGCTGTACCCATTATGTGACTATAGAGCATCCAGCTCTACACCCTTTTCACTTGTCTGTTCCCTCTTTACTTAGTAGCAACACTCACAGTACAGTTTGTGCACCTGCCTGGAAGAAATATTAGGGCAAAAAGGGACTTCCTACACTCTGCAGTCATGAGTACAGCCAACTGCCCTTTCTCACTGAGGTCAGTGCACTAAAACCAGGTGGATAGTGACCTCCAGCACTCATGCCTAGTAAAAAGAAGCAGGAAGAACACGTGGCGTACTGTTGGGAAGAACACACTTAAAGGATACTGGGATAGTAAGCAGTTTCAGCAATCTTGGTTAAGAGGCAAGGCTATTAGAAAAGAGGGAGTGACGGTTTTCTGCATTAAATAATCCTGCAACAAGCTGAAAAAAAACCCAGTTTTGCACTTTTCCTCCCCTCAGTTACTACTTGGCTGCAAAGGAACTCTTCACCAGAATGAACTGCTGAAAGGGCCTTTAACACGGATCTGCAGATCTCTGGGAAAATTTTGTGGCAGTGTGCTCTACTACGTAGCTGGGGGCAGGGTACAAAATGTGAACACGGTAAGCATGTCCCAGAACACCTTAATACAAGTGAAGCTAAAGTAATTTTGAAGGAAAACAATTTTTCTTCCTTATGTCTACGTACAGTTGCAGGGACATAGAGAAATATGTTGGGCTTTTCAAGTACTACCAACTAGGACCTCAGCTAAAGATGGGATGTGCCACCCGACACATTCAAATCACACAAGGAAGAAAGGCTGAATTCAGAATGGTCCTATCTTGCAATGATGTCCCTCAGTGTCCTCTCTTCTGGGGCTAAGCCAAAGAAAAGTTGGACAGATACCAAAGCTTTTTAAAAGAGATAACTGGGTAGAGGAAGATCTTTTTTCTTTTCTCAATTCATATTTTCCTTCCTAAATAGAAAGACATCCACAACATCTGAACATAAAAGATTGTTTCTTTTTGGTCGTTACACATCAAAACATTTACAGGCAGAACTCAGAACTGTTTCTTAACATTTCTCTCAACAGCAAGATTTCATTCCTTTACTCTGGTTGCTGCCTTTTTTTCTTGTAGACCTTCCACATGTCTATTCTCCAGTGGCCTTTGATCTCTCAGACTATTTAATAAGTGTTCCCATAAAAAGCTCCCACACATGTAGCCACATTATGCTTAAGCAGACAGTCTATTAACAATCTTCCACTACCCATTAAGCAGAGCACTATGCAAAAGCATCACACAAACTGTAGAAACTGGAGAAAACAGAGACCATACACACTCCTCATATAATATTTTCCATATGACTAAGCACTAATGTGGGAAAGACTCTCCCAAAGGGATAAAATTCTACATGCTCATTCCCACTGTAAAAACGCATATTTGTGAGTCTCTCCTCAACTTTCTCTTTGATGCTTAAAGAACATCCTATTAAAATGGAGTTTTAACACAGCAGCAGTATGTTGCTCAGGTCCTTCACAGCTTTATTCAGTCACAGCACTGGATCACTGCCTTTATAACACTTCTGCTTTCTCTCCAGAGCCGGATAGATACCTACGTAGCACATTACCCTGCTGGAACATCTGTACAGAACGTTATTCATTGGCATCAGGTATAACTGTGTACTGATGTGTAAACAGACTCTTACTACTGCTTTTTATGCAACCAACCGCCTACAGGGAATTCCAGAGGCAGTGGATCTGGGAATCTGCCCATCACATCTTCTCACATGCTGCCGTGAGCACCTGCCACAGAGGGAGCACTCTTTCCCATGGCTCACCAGACCATCACCTGAATTGCCCCTTTGGTATCAAGCACCGAGATTTCCCCAGGGCATATCAGGCCTCTCTGCATGTTGGGCTCTAATGGCTTCCAGCCTTCATTTTTATTTATGAAGACATTTGCCTTGAAAGCTGCAGAAGTGAGTGCAAGCACAGCCTAGGCACTTGGCAGGCAGTAGGAGGAGAGTGGAAATTGAGCAGCCAGGGGATGAGCTAGACAAAGAAGAGATCCAGGTTAAAGCTTTTCTCCCAGAGTGTTAATTGCAGCCTGGATCACTTCCCAAAGCCAGCTGACTTACTTACACAAACGCTTCTGCTGGCACCAGCGGCAGGTGGGGAACTGCCTCTTCTGCTGGCCTCTTACGTCACTCTCAGACCTAAGTTTGTTCTGCCCGTGCTCCAAATCAGACCAGGGCAAGAGAGCGTCGGCTCACAAACGCATCACTGTATGTGCACAGAATTGTGGCCACTTCTGCCAGCACTTAAATACATGCATGCTCCTGCACACACCCCTGACTAAAATTCCAAGGATCCAGACTGCCAGCACCCAGACCCAGAAAACAGAGACAAGCTAGCAGATTTCTAGCATATCCTCGGTTACTTAAAGGCTTGGATAAAAAATATGCACACACATTTTCAGTAAGACAGATTCAACTTTTTTTTTTTTTCCTTCTAGACAACACGCATTCAAGATGACAATACTTTAGTGTTAAGCTGATCACAGCCTGCTCCCAACAGCCAAACTCTTGTAAGAGGTACAGAGCCTCTGGAAACGTTGCCACTACTGTGAGCCGACCAGACAAAACTGACACACACAAGTCAAGGTGTGTGAGCAGGTATCATTTGTTACACTAGACTAGTAATAGTCCTGACACACCTCTGCATCACAAACAGGGACCCCAACTTTAGCTAACTAAGATAGTCAAGCAAAATTTTAATGACAAAACATGCCAAGGGTGGCGGCTGAGAATCGGGAGACAATGGTAGCAAGAGGAAAGGCAGTGAAGCCACTCACCCTACGATCCATCCTCAGAATCCCTGGAAGCCTGACCACTGCCTGAGCCTTGGCTTCAATCAAAGGCAAGAAAACACCTCCTGCACTTTGCTCTGTCTCTTAACTCTTTCATTTTATCTGTCCTTGTTACAATATTAACAGGTAATAAATGCAGACCAATTTCAAGCTTATGACTACGGCTCTAAGGAAAACATGAAGAAATACAACCAGGTAAGGCAATACAGATTTCCAGAGAACTCACCCTTGGGTCCCAGCAAAACTAAGAACAGAAAAATCCAGATTTCAGCACCTGTGAGCGCTAAAGAGGGGGAGAGTGGTCTGAGGTAATGTTTCACCCGAATCTAATACTCATACATGTAAAAGTCTATTCACAGACAAGGCATAGACAGTTCCTTGTGGACAGCTAGCAGAAGTTCATTTTGCCTCCCCTACTGATGCAGGGATGTGTCCAATGACATGTCAATTTACCTGCCATTCCCAAAAGGCTGAGAGCCACACCCAAGTCCTAGGACTTCATGAGTATGGAGCTCTTCACTTCCCCAAAAATCCTCAAGGTCTGCCTTTCAGTTAAATGCTAGACTGGCCAAAGGGGGAATGGAAAAAAAAACAAAAACAAATGGGGGCGGGGAGGGGGAAATGGAAATGCATACCTTGGTTTTGGGAAGCTACTTACCACAAAAATAAAGGGATGATTCAGTACAGCACAGTGGAGACTACTGCTGCGGTGAACTAATATATCCTGTATGGAAAAAAGGAAACGGACAAAACTTGGTCACTAGGAGCTTTGGTTACCACCTAGTCAACACTCAGAAATGCTGCGGTTCTCCTGCAACACCGATAACTTGCCTGACAGTTTTTTAAGGTTTGATCAGATCAGTTGACATGTCGTGAGCTTTTCTGAGTCAGGGCAGGTTATCTTATGGGTGGCACGTTATTTTACAGGTGGAGAAGGACTCCAAAGAGTTCTCAGACACCTTCCATCCACACATATGGTCTTTAAATACTGAAGTTTAGAGTTTGGAATGGGCTATGTTGTAGTCCCAGTACCTTGGATGCTTAGGAAACTGCCCCAAAAAACAGTCAATGAGAAAAAGAACAGAACCACCCTTAGATACTAGGGGTCAATTTAAAAGCATCTTGTGCCTGGTCCCTTACCACCCCGTAGACAAATAATCATCCTGCATTAAGTCATTTGGCTCAGGTCTCAGAAGATCCCCATTCCACTTTTCCGTGTTTCTTTGATTTCCTCTGTGATGACAGACAAGGCAAGTGTGCTCACGGGCTGTTACTCCATCAGTAGCAACACTGTGACCTAGAGGGAGTGTCAAGTGAAGTCTGGAAAAATACCACTAAATATCTTTCACTCCATGCCCCATAAAAGCATGAAGAGGACCGTATATAAGCCAGAAAGGGAACACCCGTGAACAACAACTCTGCGGTCCTTGCCTGGTAAACACAGACGCTGCTCTTGCCATATCCCCACCTCTGAAGGGCATGAGTAGGTGTCAAACTGCAGGACAACTCTTAGCCATGCATTAAGGAAAGACACAGGAATAGGACGGATCAGTTCCTTCCATAGTCAACAGGGAATGGGGTTAGGGCAATAGGCACTAAGAGGGTGGCCTTCGTCCTTACAGTTTTACTGTAGTGAGTGCAGAAGGGAAAGAGATGCTTGCACAGAATCCTTTCTCGAAACACAACTTCTGATACAACAGCATTCACTCAGGTCTCCTCCCTTTCTTACAGTCTACTCCTCCTGCATACCCAATAGAGAAGATAAGCACACCAATTGCTGTTTGGAGCGGTGGACGTGACAAATTTGCAGATCCCAAGGACATAGCAAAGTTACTTCCTCGGATTACTAATCTCATTTACCACGAGCATTTCCCTGCTTGGGGACATCTTGATTTCGTCTGGGGCCTTGATGCACCTGAGAAAATGTATCAGAAAATCATTGAACTAATAAGAAAACACCCTTAAATCTTCACACAGGGAATTCATTCATCCAGTAGATTTTTATTTAGCAGTAGAATATGGGTATAGGGATTGGTGTAGGGGTTTACAAACCACTGTCAATTGGTTTGCAATGTTGTTTTCCATGGTGTTACTCTCGTGACTGCACTCTCTCTGAGTAAGTTGCGGTATGTGGGGATGTCCACTGAAAATACAAACATGTTAGAAGGAATACTTCAGGGATCACTTATTTTGGAAGATTTTAGCTTTTATAGGGCTGATTTTGCTTCAACTAAGGTTTCATTTTCTCTTCCCTTGTAGAACAATGCCACATATTCCACATGACTCAGAGGTGTTATCCCATGAAAACCCAAAAATGGGAGATACTAATTTCTCTGTTGATGTATTACTTATCTTTGTTTAAATTAAATCATCTATCCTTTTGATAGAGTGTTTTGCCTGTTTTGTCTCCTCATGTTACCAACAGCAGCAAGCCAGACCCAAAAGACCTCCACCTGTAAGACTACCCTGGCATCTAAGCATACAGTAGTTGGCTTTAATGGCCCAAATGCCAAGGAATCCAGCATCAGAAAACCTATGTCAGAGAGAAATCACTTGATTGTTGGACAGATGCAGATACTCGCTTACCCTCACACTAAGTAATAGTTTGTTAACCCCCTTACTACAAAGAACACAACTGTCTTCATGCTCATAACCTGGCAACTGAGGACTGAGGAGATGCAGACACAGCAGCAGCCTGCACACATAGGAGGACACCATCCATCTCAAGAAATATTCCTGGCACTGTCAGTAAAGAAGTTGTTTCAAGTTCTTCTGGCTTCTCAGTTCACTGTGTTAGTGTGTCCCACTTGCTCACCTCCAAGATTATTCCAGGAGGTGAAAGATCACGTTAAAGGGTTCATCATTACAGGCCAAGACAGGGTAGCTCAGGCACTGTGGGTGTTTCTGGGTGGCAGCTTAAGCCCAGATTCTTCAATCAAGACTTGCGGCAACTGAAACTCATTTGATGATAATCTGAGAGAGAGACATCAATATATAAGCAAAACATGTTTGTCTCATGCAATATAGAAAACATGCTACGGAGATGACACATCTTCTCTAGCAGCCTGTGGCACCACTGGGAACTGAGCTCACAACTTCTGGAGAGGTTCACAGTCCAAAACACTGATTGCCAAGTGGCTACTCTCACTTACATCACACTATTTATAAACCCCAGTGTCCTGACTGCCCCAGAGAACTGAAAACAGATCTAGCCCACCTCCACAACACAGCAGGGCAGACCTGGCACAGTCACATCAAACATTATACCCAATAAAAACATGAGCTCTAGGTCTGAAGGGAAGGGGAACAGGACCAAGAATTCCAGCTTAGGGAAAAAGGAAGCAACCATCTCTTTGACCTGTCTGGCAGCAAAGCCCTTCACCTCTGCTCTCACTCACCCTTCTGCAGCACCACCTAACATTTGGACAAGATGCACATGATGAACCTGCACAAAACTTATGACGGAAGGTAGGGAAAACAAAGAATCGCAACACCAAACTCCTTCTGCCCTCACCAGTCCCTTTTCCATGCTGCAGAATCAGGGCTAACCATGAACTAAGATTCTCCATAAACCAGAGCACGCGGCTCTGCCCAGCTGAAGAAAGCAATAGGCAGACACTGGGGACTGCCCCTCCTGGGAGATGAATGAAGGGGGAATCTAGCAGTTCCTCAAAACCTGGTTGTGTGAACACAGGTCTGAGATTAAGCTCACTCAGCTTGGAAGCAGCCACCATGGGGCACTCCAGGACTTCAAGTTCAAACTTCCCTAGAGGGCCTTCCCATGCTGTACAAGAAGAACCAGCCACAGACACACCCTGCAAGAGGTTACAGGGAAGTATTCAGGTCAGTGACCAACACTGCTTGGGAAAGAACACAACATGCATGTCTTCCATACCAAGCACCTAAATCAATGTAATGTTTAACCTAACATCACCTCTGACCTAACTGAGTTTTACAAAGGATCGCCAAATTCTCTAATGGAAGACAACAGTTTCCAAATGCTCATCAAATAATAGGCTCTCCACTTACCAGAGCTTCCTGCAAACCAATGTTATCTTCTTATTGCCATCCGTCAGGAATGCAGTCCTGGAATGGCCAGTGTCTGGACAACAAGAACACCTATCCCTTACACTTCCCCTTGGAACACTGTTAGCTACCCAGACAACATCCTTGCAGCACTGTAAGGGTCTCTTGCACCTCTGCTTCAGGACAGGATTAACTCAACTCTCTACACTGAGCACAGACAAACCCCTCCATGGCATGGACTGGAGCCTGTACTTTGTAACACTTTGAGCCAAACTCAGTGAACCACTGGTGTTGCATGAAAAATCCAAGATAACAAGGTAAATGTTCAAACAAACAGGATTTTTGTTGCTTGCCCAAATCAGACCCTCCCGTTCTTAAAGCCGGGACCAAGACCTGTTGCCCCACACCACAGCCACTAGCACGAGGAGTGGTACTTCCAGGCTGGGATGCCAAGCAGCCAGAACGGCCACGCACACAACAAAAGGAAGGAAGGGAAATGCCCTTACCGTCGCTGGGGGTGCAGGATGAGCTAAATACAAGTATCTTAGACCACATCTAGACTTCCCTGTCCAGGTTTGGGCCCCAGGAAAGACATCAATACGATCAATATCTGCTGAGCAAGTTCAGCAGAAGGCCACCAAGAAGGTCATCCAAATTCGTCACGGCGCAGCTGCTGTGTTGGCTAGACGTTCCCAGCAGAGATGTGGGCCAGCCCACAGCACAGCACAGTACTGCACTGCTCTGCCCTGCCCTGCCTCCTCAGAAACCCAGGCTGACTGCCTGCCTTCCCCCTGCAGCTCCCTGCCTCCTCTGCCTCAGGGGACCAAGTCTCCTCCTCTCCACCGATCCCTCTTCCCAGGTACCACAGCCCCATACTGACCACCACGCCTTCATTTCGACCTTCCTCCTCTTCCTCCTTACCCACAGACACCTTCCTCGGCAGCAGCGCTAACTGGGTTTCCCCTCAGCTCGCCGCATCCGAGGTTTAGATCAGCCCAGGTGCGGCGTGCTTGCCCGCGGGTACCCAAGGAGGCGCGGACGTAACCGAACCGATGGCCGGACTGACACCACCAGGAGCGAGGCAAGCGTGGAGGGGACACACGCCAGGTGAGCACGGGCCATGCTGCAGCCCCCCGCCCCTCCCCTCCGTCTCCCCTGCCCTCGCCCTCGCCGCCGCCTCCCCTCGCC